GGTTGCTTAGGGGACTTATGGGACACCATCAAGTGGACTAATATTTGCATGATAGGGGTCCCATAGGAGAAAAAAGAATAGAACAGAAAATTTATTTGAAGATAACCACAGTCCCATCTTATCCATAAACATTAAGTGCAATAATTCCAAACAAAACAATTTTTTAAATGACAAGTTTGGTTTCTTCCAGAAATGTAAGATTGGTTCAACATTAGAAAATGTATTAATACAATCACCTCATTAACAAATTAGAGGCAGAAAAGACATTTCATAAAAGTCAACATTCACTTATGATAAAACACACACACACACACACACAAAATACTTAGCAAGCCAGAACAGCATGGCTCAGTGGTTGAGCATCGACCTATGATCTAGATCAGGGTTCAGTTCCCGGTCAGGGCACATGTCTGGGTTGTGGGCTCGATCCCCAGTCGGGGACATGCAGGAGGCAGGTGATCAATGACTCTCTCATCATTGATGTTTCTCTCTCTCTCCCCTTTCTTCCTCTCTCTGCAATCAATAAAAAATATTTTTTTTAAAAAATACTTACTGAGCCAGAAATATAAATAGAAGGAAACTTCCCTAAACCAAAAAACAATAGGAAAGGCATAAAAATATCAAACACAGGTGCTGCAACTTTAAGAGCATTTCTTCAAAAGAGTGCACAAGACACAGACATCTATTATTGTCACTCTATTCAACATTGTTCTAGAGGTCCTATCCTGGACATTCTCACACACAGACACACATAAAGGTGTAAGAATTGAAAAGGAAGAAATAAAGCTTCTACAGATGATACAATTGTTTAAAGAGAACCTCCAAATCTACAAATTATTTTAAATTATAAAAAGGATTCACATTATTTAATATAAGTTGGATATTAATTGGATCCCTAGCACCCACCATAAACAAAAGTCAACCTCACATGGAGTAAGTACTTAAAATTATATAAATGTGCATTGCTATCATTTTACTTATGATCTTACTTATGATCCTGATGAGAATATTGGAGTGGGATAAGGAGTGAGGTAAGGAAACAGCTCACTCCTCATTCTCCATGTCTTACAGGGTGCATTAGTTTTCCCTTGCTGCCATAACAAATTAACACAAATTGAGGTGCTTAAAACAACACAAGTTTATCATCACGGCTCTGTAGGTCAGAAGCCTGCCATGAGTCTCTCTGGGCTCAAATCAAAGCATCAAAAGGGCTGCGTTCTTTTCTGGAGACTCTAGGGGAGAATCTGCTTGTCCACTCATTCAGATTGTTGGCAGAATCCAGTTCCACGCATTTGTAGAAATGAAATCCCTGCTCCCTTGCTGGCTGTCAGCTGAGAGCCATTCCCAGCTTCAAGAGGAGGCTGTTGGTGTTCTTTGGCTTCAAAGATCTTCCTCCATATTCAAAGCTAGCAGGTAAGATTATGTCCCTCTTCTGCCGCCCCTTCTGCCACGTCTCTAAGTCTTCTGCCTTCCCCTTCAATTTTTATCTCCTCATATAATGGTCCCTAACATTAATCACATCTGCAATGCACCTTTTACTATGTAATGAAACATATTCACAGGTTCTGGGGATTAGGGTGTGGACATCTTTGAGGGACCATTAATCTGTCTATCACACAGGGAAACCGAGGGAGTTCTATGTTTGCACTAATACTGTATGTAGCTTGTACATCCTTATATAATGCCTCAGCCTCAGCCCCAGCCTCAGCCCCAGCCTCAGCCCCAGCCTCAGCCTCAGCCTCAGCCTCAGCCTCAGCCCCAGCAAGCGAGGGTGGAAAGGAGACTAGGCAGAAACTATACCCTATCTTTTTCTCGTGTCCTTTCTGTTTGCCTTTGCTTAATTAATTGAGTTTTCCTTACCAGGATGGGTGAGGATGGAACAGACAGGAAGATGAAGAATTTAGAATTGATTTCCTGGCACCAACCCTAACCCAGTAATTGGAACAAATGCCTCCCCCTACTCCTGCATCACCCAGAGGTTAGGGAAGATATATAAAGGGGAGAAAGAAGAGAGTAAGGTGGGAGTAAAATGTCAAGCCATTCAAGGAAAAATAGCAGTACATTCCCCCCTTCCTTAAGAACTCAGTCCAGGAAGTTTCCATACCTGGGTGGTGATAAACAAGAGGAAGACTCTAACTCATGTGTCATTTATTGACTGTCAGCATGTACTACACAGTGCTAGATGATTCCAAAAACCTTTCTTAACTCTTTGAACTAACCTATGTGGTACATGAGTATAGTTATTAGCCTATAAATGAGGACCCTTGGGCTCAGAGAGGTGCTCATCTAAGGGAACAGTATCAAGATGGATCTAAACCGGGTCAGCTGGCTGCTCCAGCCCAAGGTTTCCTCTCCCTGTCTTTCTCCAGCAAGAAGGCAACGTTGAGTTTTGTTACAATCCCCACACTGTACCCTTCAGTGTCTTTAAATGACACTCTTGCAGGTGTTGTCCTCCTTCCCCAACCTTTCTCTCCCCTGGAAGTTAAAGTGACTTCCTAAGGAAGGCCTTAGAGCCATTTACCTTCTTCTGAGCATTATATATCTACCTCCGCGTGGTCATTTCCCCATGGTGCCCAAGTTGATGTTATGGTTCAGGTTAGCCCTTGTGTGCTGAGCACTAGGCTATGGACTTGCACTGTCTTTCTTTCCTTCCTTCCCTTTCTTTTTTTCAGCAGTAAGCTTCAAAGGTACAAAGATAGGTGCTGGCATGTGGTCTCTGGATGAGTCTCTGCTAGGACTTACGGGAGTGAGGACACCAAGTTGTGTCTCACTGCAGTCTCCATCCCTTCCATGAGTTTGGGTTATCAGCAAAAAGCCAGGAAACAACCTTTGCTTTGCTTTTGTGGTAATAATTAATCAATTATATAATTTCAGCACAGAATCCCAGTTCTGTACCACAGGTACAAAGCCCTGTATGATTTGCTTCTACCTGTATCTTCTGCTACATCTCAGGCCACGGATGCTCCCCTGGGTGCTCCATCCACACTGGCCAAGGCCTGCTGCTGAGCCCTTGAAAATGACCAGTCGGAATAAGATGTGCTAGAAATATAAAATATACACCGGCCTTCTAAGACTTAGTAGGAATAAAAGAATGGAAACTACGTCATTAACTTTATATCAATTAAACATTGTAATGATAATATTTAGCCTGTGTTGAGTTACTATTAAAATTAAACTCTCTTTTTACTTTTATATGTGACATTCCGAACTTTTTAAATTGCATTCGTGGCTCGCACTCTGTTCCCGCGGGACAGCACTGCCCTGTCACATCACCCTCTGCTGTCCCACTCTCGGGGCTCACACCATCAGGCTGGCGGCCGGAATGCACGGCGGGAACCTTGCCTGTCTCCTCCACACCTGATTCCCGGGCATTTCGGACACAGCCTGAAGCTCGGTTAGTACCCAGTGAATATTTTTGGAATGAGAGACCTTACTCTTCCTCAGCTGGAGACGGTGAGCCCTGCCCGTCCTCCCCCCGAGCACGAGGTCCCGAGTTCTTTGGGCTGCACGCGCATCTCAGCGCTGACCACGCGCTCCTGACACGGGGAGGAGAGGTGCAGGAGATGCCGCCTGCAGACACCCTCCTTGCCCGCGGAAAGCACCGGGCACGCACAGCACCCGGCCTGCAGAGGGAGAACCCCCGCGGCTCGGTCCTCTCCCGCCTTGGAGACCCGCCCACCGCCGGTCGCTGGGCGCTTCTCGCTCCCGCCACCCGGCGGCGTCTGGAGGGCGCGCGGCGGCGATGGTACAGCCCGTCCCCCCCGCGCCCCGCGCACGGTG